TATATATATATATATATATATATATATCGCGAGTAGGTATCCGAACCGCGCGCGACAGATGGAGAGATATTCTCCGAGAGATTACTCTTTCTTTCCATCCGTCGTTCGTCGCGATAGCGAGATCAGGCAAAGTTGTACCCGGACGAAACCACCGTGTTGTTTCACAGATGGATCAGGACGAAAATCACAATCACAAACCGGTTTTTTCGAATTGTTCGAATTACGCACCGATAGTGAAGGAGGAGGAACCGGTAGGCACGATCGTGATTAAAGTACACGCGGAGGACAGGGATCAACCGAGCGACGGAGGTACGCGTATTCGCGTTCGTCTTCTCTTCCAGCTCGCGCGCAGTGTCCACGGAGAGTATAACCCGCGTCTTTTTATTTCCTCGTCGCAGGCACCATTGCTTACAGTTTCGTCACCGCACCGGGTGAAAAGCTAAAGTTCGAGATCAACAACAGGACCGGCCTGATCAGGACGACGCAGGTGTTGGACAGGGACGAGCCAGCTCGAGAGAAGGAAGCCTACCTGACCGTCCTCGCGACCGACAACGGAAGGCCGCAACTCGACGACGTGTGCACCTTCAAAGTCACCATCGAGGACGTGAACGATAACTCGCCGGTTTTCGACAAAGTGGTAGGTGCCCCGTGTACCGCGTCCATGCGATTCGAGCGCTCTTATGGGTCACTCGATTCGTCCAGGTACCGTGACTCTGTGTCGCGTCGCATTCGTCTCGCGCCAATCTTGCCATCCTTCGTGTATTAGATACTTGCGCGAAGTTCCGTCCTTCGCCATCTCTCCACCTTTTTTTTCTCCAATTCGAACTCACGCCTGCGTTTTTTACGGACCAATCGAATCTCCCGTAACGCGTATCTTTGCTTCGTCCACCGACGAACGTACCGGCGTATCTTTTCTTACGCTTTACGATACCATCGTGCTACACTAACCACCCACCTCTTGCTTCGATTTCTTTCTTTTTCTTTTTTTTTTCAAACCCAGGTCTTTCATGGATATGTACGGAAGGTTGGTCTCGAATTTTCCCGGTCTACATGTATTCCGATGTTTTTTCTTTTTTTTTCTTTTTTTTTTCTTTTTTTTCTTTTTTCTTTTCATTTCTTCCTCTCTCTCATCTTTCTCACTTTTCCTTTTTTCTCTCTTTCGTTTTTGCTTTTTCTTTTTCTGGTTTTCCTTTTTTTACTACTAATACTACTACTACTACTATTACTACTACTACTATTATTATTATTATTGTTACTGCTACTACTACTTCCTTTACTCGATTCATTTTTGTGGGAATGCGAATGCGTACGTTTTTTGTTTTGCGTTGACGCAAGCGAATTGCGCTTGCGCGATCGAACGGTAAGGATCGTTGCAGCACGCCCTACGCGAATCGATCCCGAATGATCTTACCGCTCGAATCGCTGCTTCTTTCATCGGGTTTAGACATCTATGGATGGACGCATGCACGCGGGTAGATTGTGTTTTAGAGGAGCAAAGGAACGGGGTAAAAGAGACGACCTTTCACGGTGGAAAGGAAAAGGAAACGTATTCGAGAGTGTTGTTTGTTTTCCGGTGACCGTGCTCGCGTAGGCGTATACCGAATCGGTGCCGCAAGATTTACCCCTCGGACGAGAAGTGATGAGGGTATCCGCCACGGATATCGACGATGGCAACAACTCCGTCGTCTACTACAGCCTCTCGCCGAAAAGGCCCGAGGACGGTGTATACTTTCGTATAGATCGCAACACCGGTGTCATATTCCTCAACAAGACCATCGACGTGAGTACGCGTTATCGTAATTAGCAGATATCGCGCGAAGCGAATAAGGCGGATGATATTAAAACGTGGAACGGTGCAACGACGGGTGTTCGCAGAGAAATCCGGATTACAAGTTCAGCATGACGGCAACCGCCGAGGATCAGGGCGAGAATCCAAAGTCGAACGTGATCGATCTGGATATTCGAGTCGTAGAGTCGCACAAAAAGGCTCCAGCCTTTTTGCCAAGGTCTTCCGAACCGATTCGATTGCAAGAGAACTTTAGCGATTTCGACGTGAGTATCATACGATTACAGGCTGTCTCGAATAGCGGTGATAACACCGGTCTCCTCTTCGAACTGGTACCCGGTAGGACGGAACAAACCAACAAGGGAAACACGTTCAGGTAAATCGAATCTTTCTAACCACCACCGAATCACCGATAACGAGTTCATTAACCTTCGTCTTTCTTGTCTTCACCCGTTCTTTCATTCCTCCACGTTGACAGATTGGAATCGAACAAGGACGTTGCAGATATCAAGCTTTCTCAGCACCTCGACTACGAGAGTAACACTTTGTACACCTTGATCGTACGCGTGCAGAACAAGTATCAGCTGGCTGCCGAGACCGTGATCGACATCGAGGTATTGGACGTAAACGACAATATTCCGGTGTTTCGCGAGATGAAGAAGGGTAGCGTATTGGAGAACGAACCACCGGGTGTCCCCGTGATGCAAGTGCGCGCCATCGACGCCGACGGGACGTCCGCTCACAATCAGGTATACCTCGCGTTCATCTTTGTCTCTTTTCTCCTCGATTTTACGAGAGCTCTACCATTCGAGCGGCGCTTCTCATCGTCGTCGTCGGCCCTTTGTTCTAGGTCACGTACGAACTGGACAACTTTCGGGACCTATTCGCCATTGATAAGTACACCGGTAACATCACCACTCTGACCACGTTCGACAGAGAGCTCGAGGACACGTACAACGTGAAGGTGATCGCCGTGGATAACTCGCCGAGCGCTCTCTTCCAAACGGGCAACCACAATAAAGGGCAGCAAGTATTTCGCATCGAGATCGCTGATAAAAACGACAACGCCCCCCATTTCACGCAAGCCGTCTATACCGCCAACTCGATCCTCGAGAATGCCAATATCAACGCCCCGGTCACCGAAGTGAAGGCACTCGATTCCGATACCGCTAGCCCCGTCACGTATAGCATCATATACGGTAATACTGACGACAGCTTTTACATCGAAGATACCACGGGAAAGATTCGCGTGAAAAAACCTCTGGATTACGAGAAGATCACCGAATATAACCTAACCGTTAGAGCGTTGGACGGTGTGTACAACGACACTGCCCAAGTGAAAATTTTCATCGAGAACGTGAACGATAATCCGCCGGTCTTCGAGGACTTCAACAAAAATCCTACCATCGAGGAGGAGAAGCTGGTCGAAGGTAAGTACAGACAGGTACACACGGTCCAATTTGTACGATCGGGGACGGGCTATGGTCGTGACGCCTCTCTCGTTCCTCTCCCGACTTCTGGATAATTAAACTCGCGATGCGTCATCGTTACAGGTTGCATCACTACCGTGGTCGCTTACGATCCAGATATCAAGGACAGGAATGC